TCTCCTCGTCCTGATTAGCGTAAAATTTGGCTATCTCGAGTTTGAGTCTTAAAGATGCAATTTTTAGCTGGAGAGCGTTCTCCCTTTCACTCCCTCCCCCTTTTAATACGTCGTCCAACATCGCCGGGCTCTAATCCCCGTTCTCGCTCATTATAACTCGAGCTCCTTTAGTCGTCGACCGCGACACCACTGACATGCGAAACCCGGAGGAAACAGAAATGAGTCCCACCTGTGTCAGTGCGCCGCTCCTCAGTCGATGACTCTCCGGTGTCGCTGGACGTCACCCACCGGAGTCGGTCCTGGGTTTGGGTACCGGCTGGTCCGTCCTTCGTGTCGCAACCCCCGCAACTTTTCACGTAGACGATGCTGCGTCGTCGCTGCACTTTGGACCGCCGCAAACGAAGCTTCTCGCGCAGATGTAGCTCCGTCCGCTCGTTCTCTTCGGGTCGTAACCCACAAGGCCTCTCACGAGGATGTTGCCTTGTTCACATCGGGTCGAAACCCACGAGGCCTCTCACGGGGATGTCGCCTTCTTCTCTTCGGGTCGAAACCCACCAGGACCTCTCACGTGGATGTCGTCCTGGTCACTTCGGGCCGGAGCCCACGAGGCTTCTCACGTGGATGTTGCCTCATCCACCGTTGACGTCGGGTCGAAACCCCCAAGACCTCTCACGTAGATGCCGTCTTGGTCACTTCGGGCCGGAGCCCACGAAGCTTCTCACAGGGATGCTGCCTCGTCCACCGTTGAGCCGAAGCTCACGTACTTGCCCGCAGGTCGCCGCCACGTCGTCTCACCGGAAATCGCGCCACCATCCTGTCGACTGCGCCAGTTAAAGTTGTTCCTCCCGGTGGGTGTGGGAGGCAGGTTCCGCTTCGATGGTCTGGAGCGTGGTGGCACGAACGTCGATGAGTGACGGGTAGACTCACTGCTTGAATAGAACTATGTGCATTTATTTACACACTAGTTACAATTCCCAACTTGGGAGACCATCCCGCCTCGTTCAAAGTCTCGACCCCCGTCCCCAATTTCTCTTCATCAAATCCAAAGTCCGAATCCCTCAAAATCCTCTCCGCGCTCTTTTTGTAGGCCCGTAGGGGCCTCCTTTCCCCTCAGGAACCGACCAATCTCTTCAAACTCCGCCACTCACACGTGGTACACTGTTCTCCAATGGTCGGCGAGCTGTCATCCTGACACCCCAACCGTCAAACCTAAATTCCTCGTAGAGTTGTTCTCTGCAATTTTCCCAGCCTGACTGGCGCCAACCGCTAAGTTATTGCATCGGGCAAAAAGCGACAATTTTATACAAAGCGGCAAAACCCTCTGCATACACGCACATTCGGTTATAAGCCACAAGCATCTTCCAGCGCGGGCTCTTTCGGTCCCGGTCCGAGCAGACCCCCGAAACCCGAGACGCTTCTTAACGACCGCGGGGGGGACCGCTCCCGCGTCGCGGCCGCTCTGGCCCCGCCGACCCAAACGTAGAAAGCTAAAAAAACACAATGCCGACGCAACTCTGGAGAGATAAACTTTCCTAACCAAAAGAAAACACGTTAATTAATAAGCAGGACTCCTAAATACTTAACTTACCCCTACCACACTTCTCCCTGGTTTTTCAGAGAATACTTTCCTGAACTTCCTCAGCAATGTCGCGAGTTCCACCCGCTGGTCCGCACCAAGATGTGGCGAGTCATGGGTGATCTCCTCGATGGTCGCGTGATGCGCATTGTTTGCCGGAACGCTCTCTACATCTCCGAATTCTTCATCGGATTCAAAGATAACCCCAACATTCTGTGCCCGTGCGACATACCTGCGCAACTTGTTAGCGTGTACCCACCTGTCACCCCTCTCCGGACAGTCAACGATGTAACTGTCCGCGCGTTTTCGCTCCTTGATCACTGCGGGCCCCGACCATTTCGGCTGGAGTTTACCGGAAAGCCCCGTCTCGAGAACAAGCACCCTCTCGCCCACCGTGAACTCTTTCGGGCGTGCCCTCAAAAATTGTACCGGTGGGTATATGCCTGTTGTTTCGCCTTAGCATGCTCGTCAACAACGCGGGCTGAGTCTACCATTCTTTCTCTCAAATCTTTCAGGTACTTGGCCGCTGGCTTGTTTAGTCCTAAAGGCGGCGTCCATTGCCCCGTCCATGTTCTTTTCAGTATAGACAGCGGGCCCTGAGGCTCTCTACCATACATCAATTCGAATGGGGACCTCCCCGTGACCTCATTCGGGACCTCCCGATACGCCCAAAGAAGGCACGGCACGTACTGGTCCCAACACCCTCCCCTCTCACTCACCACGTGGCGAAGCATTGCCTTAAAGGTGCCATTCCAACGCTCCACGATACCATTACTCTGGGGGTGATCAGGCGTAGAAAACCGAATTTCCACGCCCAATCGGCTGAGGAGCTCCTTGGTGAGCTGAGACGTGAAATTCGTCCCTTGATCACAACAGATCAGTTCGGGCACCCCGTGTCGCGAGAACACATCAACCAGTGCCTGGCACGTGGACTTTGCTGTCGTGGACTTTGCTGTGAGCGAGCGGAGAGGAATTACCTCGGGCCATCGCGTGCACAGATCTACGACGGCCAGAGCGTACCTATGCCCGCGAGCTGAGCATGGCTCCATGGGACCGATGCAGTCCATAAAGACAGTCTCGAAAGGTCGCTCAGGTCTCGTCAACGGAGTTATTGGGACTCGGTCCGTCGCCATTTCCCGCGCGAAAATCTGACACCCATGACAAGACTGACAATATCTCTTGACATCCGCCGCCATGGTTGGCCAAAAGAACGAATTTCTAATCCTCTGTTTTGTTTTCTTTTGTGAGAAGTCCCTCCACATGGCATGTCGTGCGCCAATTGTAACACCTCTTCCCTACGGGGCTTCGGGAGCACCAGCTGTTTGCATTCTTTCCCGTCAATTTGTTCCGTGTGATACAACAAATTACCTTCAATCAACATGCCATGCGTGCCGCTTCGGGCCTGTTCCCACGAGCCCTGCAAAGAGCCGTCGTCTCGCTGTTCGCTTACGAACCCCGTTTCGGTAGCGCTCCGTTCCGTAACTGTCTCGACCAAGTCTACATCAGACGTGCTCCCGGCCGATTCAATACCCTCTACCACTTCCTCGAACTCCAAAGGGGGATCGCCGGAGACCTGGTCCTGTTCCGCTCTGATTTCTGCCTCCAGCCTTTGCACCTGTTCTGCCTGCTCAGCAGACTCAGCGTTTGCTCGCGTAAGCTCCTCAAATGCGTCGGGCGTCAGCAGCGCGTCCACCCCCTGCGCGAGTCTTTCCGTTACCGCACACAGCACGGCGACATGTTGGCCAGTCCCGCCGTCTGCGGTGCACAGCCCCAACGGCACATACCTCAGCTCTGCCGTCACCGTCTGGCCGAATGCACCTCTGAGCATGATTTCTCCCCCTCCCCGCCTGCGTGACTCCTCGGGCACCACCTCCCGCCTCACGACAGTTAAGTCAGCGCCCGAGTCCAAACAGGCAGAGAAGGGTGTGCCCCCTGCCGTAAGCTGTACCCAGCTTATACCCGAACCTGTTTCCCCATGCCTGCGCGTCCCCGCCGTCTCAAGCGTCTCGCGTGACTGCGGCAAAAGCGCTGCCCTTGCACTCAGACCCGCGGAGGCCGATTTATTCCCGGAGTCCACGGCTCTATGCGCTAATCCAGGACAGTTCTGCCTAAAATGCCCCAGCTTCCCACACGCAAAGCGCCCCTGTGGTCGGGGTTTCTCAATCCTTCGCTGGTCGCCCCCAACTTTCGCAGGCCCACCCCGCAAGTTCACCTGTGGCTTCTCAGCCAGTCTCTGGGGCCTCCAGTTTCGATTGTGTCTACTCTCCTCAAATTTTTCCGCAAGTCCCGCCACTTCCTTTGGCCTTAGCCATTCTTTGGTTTCGTTCTGAAGGACGTAGGTGCGTTGTGATGATGTGGGAGAACCAACGATGAGGAAAACGACGAGCGTGAAAACTGAGAGTTGGACTGAGCAACACTGTGGACTGAGCGAAGGACGATGAAGAAGATGCGGTGAACGTGGGGAAGATGGAAACGGTTAAAAGGCAAAGAAGTTCAAGGCAAGAGTTGGATATACGAAAAAAACGAAGACGACGACGAGAAGGGAAGAGGGGACACAAGCTCGTGACTCGTGAGAGAAGGGCGGGCACGACACTGAACCCGGCTCGACAGCGGTGGTCTCGGCAGCCAAGGAGGAGCCCGGACGGACGAGTCCAGGCCCGTGGGGCTTTCACCCAAGCTCGCTGAGAAGCCTCCGCCTGTGCCTAGCGAGCAGCTGAACATTCCTGGACAAGACGAACGCCCTGCCTACGTCGACGTGCACCACCGGGCCGTAAGCGGATGCGGCGAACTGAACTCTGTATATATAGCCACACCATTGTTTTCTAACTTCTTGTTTAAACGACTGTAAATAATACCTACCTTCTTATATTCACCGCACTGGAATTCCGAGTCCTTTTAATTATTATATTTTTTTTCCATGACAATCTGGCGTCCGCGACAGGACTCTCTCTTTTTAACATCTTATAGAGAGCAGAATTCCAGACGGTGCTGTAAGAAGAGTTACAGTATGAATCCCGATAAATTGCTATCGGTTGGGAGAGAGCTGGGGTATGCGGGCATAGAACTCCGCGAATGGGTCGAAAAAGAAATAGTCAGACAGAAAGAAGAACGGGTCAGAATGAGAGAAGATGCAAGAGAGGCAGCTAAGGAGGCGCAAGAGACGACTGACAGAGAAGCTCACAGATTCCAACAAGAGCAGGCGGTGCTGCAGATGCGTCTTCAGTTGCGAGGAAACAACAGTTCACCTCGAGATGAGGATCCGCAGGATACTGGCGGTGGAGAAAACCCAGGGAGGCAAACATGCTATCGTAGCCCTCATAAATTAATCCCACGATTTAATGAGAAAAGAGACGACCTGGACGCTTACATCCGACGTTTCGAGCGAGTGGCGACCAGTCAGGAATGGCCCCAAGAAAAGTGGGCGATGTCTTTGAGTCTCTGCCTCACCGGTGAGGCCTTAACGGTCGTTGGAAGGATGACACCCGAAGAGTCATTGGACTATTCAAAAGTAAAGCTTAGCCTGCTTCAGCGGTTTCGCTACACCGCAGAAGGATACCGGGAAAAATTTCGGCAAAGCAAGCCAGAAGAGTCAGAGACCGGGAGACAATTCGCAGCTCGGCTCCTCGGTTATTTCGACCGATGGCTAGAGACGGGTGACACCATTAAGACATTTGAAGGGCTCAGAGATCGCATGGTCGCAGAGCAGTTTTTAAGAAGATGTAGCACAAAACTGTCTATATCTTTGAAGGAAAGAGACTGCAAAACCCTTGAGAGTTTGGCAGTAACTGCAGACCACTTTTTAGAAGCGCAGGGCCAAACTAGCTTGTTTAGCTCGAAAGAAGACGACCTAAGCCATAAGAGTGGAGGTCGTAATAAAGAGGGTAGTCGGCTGAAAGTTCCCACCAAGGGAGTGAGCCGGTGTTTCCTCTGCAACAAGTCTGGACATAAAGCCGCAGAATGCTGGACCAGTTCCAGAGCTCAACACGGATCTGCGTGCTGGAGGTGCGGCAAGCCAGGACACAAATCAGATGCGTGTAACTGGAAGCCAGAAGATAAAGGTAGCAAGACTCCTCAGGCATCCTGTATGTTGACAGTCGCCGACAGCGAAAATCCAGAAGAGACATACATTGTACTGAGAAACGGAGAACAGATACCGATAGTAAATGCGGCACTCGGAAAGGCTCCACGGTTCCTGGTTGATAATATGCCAGTGGTGAGGGGAGAAGTGTGCGGTCGTCCGGTCACCGTACTGAGAGACAGCGGCTGCAACACGGTTGTGGTAAAAAGAGATCTGGTTCCCGATGATAAGTTAACCGGTGTCTCTAGTCCGGTTTTCCTACTTGATAGGACTGTAAAGTACCTGCCAGAGGCAGAGATAGAGGTGAGAACTCCGTTTTTTACGGGCAGTCTAATAGCCAAGTGCATGGACAACCCGTTGTACGATTTGGTGTTAGGAAATGTTCATGGGGTGAGAGGAATTGATGATCTCGATGAAGAATGGAATGACGAGGGAAGACTAAGCGGGTCTCAACTGAACGAAGAGAGACAGACACCCAAGGGGACGTCAGGAAAAAGTGAGACTGGTGAAGGACTCGTTCTTGACGAGAGTGGAAAAGAAGGCTGTGACGTCTTGGTGCCGGAGATTAATTCTGCGGGAGCGCTGAAGAGAGTAGCTGGCAAGGAAAACAATTCCCAACTACCGGTTATGACGCTCGAACCGACGGGAATTGACCACAACAAGTTGAAACTATCTCAACGTAATGACGAATCGTTGAAGAAATGCTTTGCTGCCGTCGGCAAAAAGTATATCTCGGGAAAATCGCACGAGTCTGAATTCGTGTTGCGTAATGAAATCCTCTACAGGAGGTACAAGACGCCGGCACACAAGCAATGGGAACAACTGATTGTTCCGAGAGATTTCCAAACCATCGTACTGAAATTGGCGCACGAAGGAATCATGTCCGGACATCAGGGAACTAAGAAGACCACTGATCGCATCCAGGAGGAATTCTACTGGCCTGGAATTGCAATGGACATCAAGCGATTCGTGAAGTCGTGCGACATGTGCCAGAGAACCATTCATAGGCACATGGTGCCGAGAGCACCCCTTGGAACCATGCCGATCATCGACACTCCCTTCCAAAGAGTCGGCATTGACATTGTCGGACCTATCGCGCCCAGTTCAGAGACGGGCAACAGGTATATACTGACAATGGTTGACTTCGCTACCAGATACCCAGATGCTGTCGCTCTGAAAAGCATCGACACAGTCGAGGTAGCGGAGGGCTTACTGCAAATGTTTTCTCGAGTAGGCCTGCCACGAGAAATCGTCAGTGACCGGGGATCATGCTTCACGTCGGCTCTCATGAAGGAGATCAGTCGCATATTGTCGCTCAGACTGCTGACGACAACCCCCTACCATCCAATGTGTAATGGGCTGGTTGAACGATTTAATGGGACTCTAAAACAAATGATCAAGAGAATGTGCCAGGAGAAACCGCGATGTTGGGATAGATATCTCACCCCGTTGCTTTTCGCATACAGGGAAGTGCCGCAGAGCAGCCTGGGGTTCTCCCCGTTTGACCTTCTTTATGGAAGGTATGTTCGCGGTCCTATGGCGGTTCTGAGGGAACTCTGGACCAACGAGAACATCGACCCGGAGACCAAGACAACATACGAATATATGGTTGATCTGCGCAAGAGACTTGAAGAGACCTGTAAAGCCGCCCACGAGGAACTCAAGAAGGCCCAACTGACACAAAAAGAACACTACGACAAGAAGAGTCGAGCGCGCCAACTACGAGAAGGGGACAGAGTACTGATCTTGTTACCGACAGACAGAAACAAGTTGGTGCTACAATGGAAGGGTCCATTCCGGGTAGTTGAGAAGAGGAATGACGTGGATTACGTCATAGACCTTGGTCAGAAAACGACCGTGTTTCACATTAATATGTTGAAGAGATACGAGGAGAGAGAAGTTCTTGGAGCTCCCAGGCAAGTCTTGGCTGGTATGGCTGTGGAAGAGGATCCCGAAGAACAGGAGGTCCCTCATGTCGGTCTGCACAAACTTCAAGATCACAAAGACGTACAGTTCTCAGAAGAGATGACTGAGTTCCAAACTAACGATGCAAGGAAGCTGCTGGAAGAGTTCCAGGACGTATTTTCAGATCTTCCAGGTCAGACTAGGCTTATAAAATGCCGGTTGAAACTGAAGACAGATACGCCAATCCAAGTGCGACAATACCCCATTCCCTTTGCGCTACAGGAAGAGGTAGAAAAGGAGATCGGCGATATGTTACGCCAAGGCATAATCGAGAAGTGCGACTCAGCCTACAACTCGCCCGGTGTGGTAGTAAGGAAGAAGGATAAATCAACACGGTTATGCATAGATTTCCGCCAATTGAATAAGGTTCTGGAAACCGATTGCGAGCCGATTCCTCGAGTCGACATGATGTTCGCTGAACTAAGCACTAAACGATACTTTTCTAAATTTGACTTCGCCAAGGGATATTGGCAAGTACCTATGGCCGAAGGATCAGAGGATGCGACCACTTTTTCAACTATGTCGGGACTGTATCGGTTTAGGTTCATGCCGTTCGGCATAAAAACAGCCCCAGCAATGTTCACACGATTAATGAGGAAAGTTCTCGAAGGTGTGCCAAACGTACATCATTACTTGACGACGTCCTAATATCAACCGACACTTGGGAGGAGCATATGAGGACAATGAGCCTATTCTTGACTAAGGTGAGGGAGGCTGGACTCACCATCAAGCCAAAGAGAACAGAGATCGGGTATTCAAGAATAACTTTTCTTGGCCACAAAGTCGGGCAGGGGACTTTCGAGCCCCTAACAGAGACGCTAGATAAAATTCAAGGCGCAACAAGACCAAAGACTAAACCAGAAGTCCGATCCTTCCTGGGGCTGACCGGCTATTACCGGGAATTCATTCCCAATTACGCCGAGACAACGCTCGCTCTGACGGAGCTGACAAGGAAAAGAGCGGCCAACAAGGTTATCTGGGGGGAAAGACAGGAGAGAGCGTTCGAGCTACTGAAGAAACTCCTCTCCGATAAGCCGATTTTGAAATCTCCAGATCTGTCGAAGGAGTTTATTTTAAGAACAGACGCGTCGGAAAGGTGTCTGGGCGCCGTACTAATGCAAGAACATGAAGGGGTCTTGCATCCGGTTGCGTACGCAAGCCGGAAGTTACTGCCACGAGAAGTCGCGTATTCCACCATTGAGCGTGAATGCCTAGCCCTCGTGTGGGCAGTGCGAAAATTCCACATATTCTTGTTTGGCAAACGCTTCACTGTACAGAGCGACCACCAGCCGCTTGAATACATTCACTCTGCTAGGCATCTGAATAGTCGCGTATTGAGATGGAGTTTGTTACTCGCCGAGTACGATTTTAAAGTGACGTACATTAAGGGCTGCCAGAATGTTGGAGCTGACTATTTAAGTCGTATGTAATGCGCCCACAGCGGTTACTGGATTTGTTTTGGGGGAAGGTAATAGTTTACCTACGTATGAAACACGCTTCGTCGTTGTCGTGTGGGTTGGTAACAATTGTTTGTTTTGACTACAGGTCTTAATTCTTTTGCTTAAAAGTTTTCGGAAACAATTGTCTGAAAAGGGGGGTAATTGTGATGATGTGGGAGAACCAACGATGAGGAAAACGACGAGCGTGAAAACTGAGAGTTGGACTGAGCAACACTGTGGACTGAGCGAAGGACGATGAAGAAGATGCGGTGAACGTGGGGAAGATGGAAACGGTTAAAAGGCAAAGAAGTTCAAGGCAAGAGTTGGATATACAGAAAAAACGAAGACGACGACGAGAAGGGAAGAGGGGACACAAGCTCGTGACTCGTGAGAGAAGGGCGGGCACGACACTGAACCCGGCTCGACAGCGGTGGTCTCGGCAGCCAAGGAGGAGCCCGGACGGACGAGTCCAGGCCCGTGGGGCTTTCACCCAAGCTCGCTGAGAAGCCTCCGCCTGTGCCTAGCGAGCAGCTGAACATTCCTGGACAAGACGAACGCCCTGCCTACGTCGACGTGCACCACCGGGCCGTAAGCGGATGCGGCGAACTGAACTCTGTATATATAGCCACACCATTGTTTTCTAACTTCTTGTTTAAACGACTGTAAATAATACCTACCTTCTTATATTCACCGCACTGGAATTCCGAGTCCTTTTAATTATTATATTTTTTTTCCATCACACGCGTACATCATCCGGCATGGCATGCTTTAGGCGTTCTGAGATGGTCAGCTGCCGAAGATCATCTAGTGTCTCTACCTTGCGGCTCTCCATGTAGTATCCATACATAGTATTAAGACTTGTAGAGAACTGTGCCCACGACTCGTTCTCTTGTTTGCGCGCGACATTAAACCTCCGCTTGTACTCATCCGGAGTCATCCTGAGCTCGTCGAGGATAATGTCTCGTAGCTCCTTGTACTTCAATACCCGTCCCTCTGCTCTGTTTGCCACAACGGCGCTCGCTTTCTCATTTAGAAAAGGCAAGAGGATTGCCCCGTGTAGGTCCTGTGGCACCTCACAACTCGCCAACATTGTTTCAGCGCTTTTAAACCATGCAGGCACCAATGTGTCTGTCACGGGCATTGGCGCCAGCACCGCACGTAGCTCCTTTGCATACCGTCCGACTCCCCCCGTACCCCGAGAGTTCTCTTCATGAGGCTGCCCCGTTATTTTGAGCTGCTCTAGTTTTATTTTCTCGAGTTCTATCTTTAGTCTCATGAGTGTTATCTCAGCACTAAGGTCATTCGAATCTGTTGGCTGCCCTCCCTCACCGGTGCCAGCGTCTGGTTCTGAGTTGGCGCCGCTGAGGGAAGACCCTGGGGTCTTCGATCTAGTCTCTCCGGTCATGGTGAGCCTCGGAGAAAACGGGAATGGGACTCACCCACTGTTGTTTAGCAAAATCCAATTAGCTGCTCCTCCAGCCGCCGCCACCCACTTGCCGCAGTGTCCCCACTCGGCCTGGCGATCATGCCCGTCGTCTGGAAGTCTCAGCTCCTTCTTCGTTCACCGAAAAAAAGAAAAAAAAAAAAAAAAAAAAAAAAAAAAAAAAAAAAAAAAAAAAAACGACAATTTTCTGGCACCACAACGAAGTTCAGCACTGCAGCGACGATCTCGTCTCTTCTCTTGAGGCTTGCCCCGATATTCTGTCGCCGCTCGCTGAAGATGCTTCGCGGGTCCGCAGGTGAAGCTACAGGTCGTCCTGTTCTCCGACGTAGAAGACGCCCAGGACCACCTGTCAGCTGCCACCACTCCTTTTGGGTAACTGTACCCCCCCGGGCTTCTCGCGTAGATATTGCCACGGTCCTCACTCCGGCAGGAGCGAGCCTTGTCCGCAGTCCAGCAGACAACTTTTTTGGGTAACTGTACCCCCCCGGGCTTCTCACGTAGATATTGCCACGGTCCTCACTCCGGCAGGAGCGATCCTTGTCAGCAGTCCAGCAGACGGGACCCTTGTCTGCAGTCCAGCAGACGCGACCCTTGTCCGCAATCCAGCAGACGAAACACTTGTCGCATAGAGCCCAGGTACGCTCCGCCTGCCTCCGTTGATGCCGTCGTTTTCGCTCACCGACCGTCGGAGGAAGTCAGCAGGATCCTGTCGACTGCGCCAGTCAACTTTCCGAGGGGGAAGGGGCCCGGTCAGGATGGTGACGACCGATGATGGTGTTCGCCCGATGGTAGTCCCCCGGGAAGTCGAATAAGAAAAAAAAAACTAAAAGTTGTTCGATCCCGCTGGACACATTACGACGTCGGTAGGTTTACGGTGGCCAGTGTGGCCACGTTTATTTTCAAAACAAAACGACAAGTCAACGGTAATACCAAAACTTCCAAAATTAAAACCCCATACTTTAGTCCCCAGTTTCAAGAGCCGAATCCCCCGAGAACCCTCTCGGCAGCCCTTTTCTAGCCTCGTAGATGCCTCCTTTCCCTCCAGAGATGGACCAATCACTTCAAATTTCACCATTCCCACGTGGTACACTGTCGTCCAATGGTCGGCGAGCTGTAATCCTGTCGCTGTAACCGCCAAATCTAAATTCCTCGTAGGGTTGTTCTCTGCAATTTTTCCAGTCTGACTGGCGCCAACCGCTGAGTTATTGCATCGGGCAAAAAGCGACAATTTTACACTAAGCGGCGAAACCCTCTATATACAGGCACATTCGGCTAAAAGCCACAACCAGCTGCAAGAAGGGATCTGTCCGAGCAGACTACCGAAACCCGAGACGTTTCTTAACGACCGCGGGGAAGCCGCTCCCCACTCCCGGCCGCTCTGCCCCCGCAAATGCTCCCTCCAAAACGCCGACACTCACAAAGAAAGCTAAAAAAAAATAAAACGATGCCGACGCAACTGTAGAAAGATAGACTTTTCTAAAACAAATCTTACTTATTTCTAACAAAATCCTTGGTTACTTAACATACGGGGACAAAGGAACATCGCGCACATCGGCATTACTGCACCACTGTGACCTCAAGTGCACGGACACAAAAACACAAAAGAAAGAAACGCGCACCGAAAACGATGCATTTTGATCTCCCCCCCCCCCCCCCCCCCCTCCGCACTGCAACTCACAGACATCTGCGCCTTACCCCCCCTGAAAATTATTTCTTCCTTCGCCATTGAGATGGCCGCCCGTGACTGTTCCGATGAGCACGTAGCGTCCACGGCATTGTCGGTATTTCAAGTCCGAAGGTCAAAGGGAAGGGTATCGTCAAGATCGGGGAAGTCGGTAAGAAAGAAGGCGCGGCATCTGCATTTCTTTGTTTAATTACTAGCTGGCCGCTATACTCCGTTTCACCCTAGAATACCCTCCTAGGGGAGGGCGGGTATTCTACACCTACCTCCCTAAACCTCCCTCCCTCTTAGATTCTTAGCGAGCGTGTTGGGAAGATGTACTAGATAACAGAAAGTATAAAACAGAGAGAGGACGAAACACGCAGAGGACTACATTCTTTCAACTCACAACAAAGTTTATTCCATGGGGTGCGAACGTATGATCCCCTGCGCAGACTTAGGGAAAGGGAGGAAGGGCAGTATACACTCGCTTGGAGGGCTTTTAGAGGTATTTTGGATAATAATAATAAAGTAGTTTCCGGGCCCATTATTTTGCGAATAGGAGGATCTAATCAATGCATAACATAGCACGTTCTTGACTATCTAGGTTAGATATTCAAATTATCAAAGGAATACACTTTTAGCAAGAGTGCTCGGTGTAATAACACTAGACATAGCATGGAACGTGACGGAACCTACTTCCCACAACGAAATTCTCGCCGTCTTTCAATAAACAAAAAGAAAATGTTCCAAATGATTATGTGATTCTTACCAGGTCCTTTCCAGCCCCATCCGGCGACTTCAACTTCTTGTCCCTCTGCGGCTGGCAACAATTTGCTAATGCATATCGCTCCAATGCGCCCTTTGCTCTTTTTAAAATAAAATGGGCGTTTTAGCTTGATGAGACCTATATCATTGTTTAAATTGTCGTCAAAATGTTCGTGAATTATAAATTTTTTCGCCTGAAACGAATAAACGAAAATTAAACAAAAACATTTTAAGGTTGTAAATTCAATCGCTTTTCGAAGGATTTGAGAAATCAAGGTAAGATTTCACGCACGTATTGAGTTCCATTATTCAGTCGCACATTTTATTTGTATATAATATTTAAAAAGAAAAAAACTTGAAAAATAGAGACCCTTTATATCGGGATTCCGGATCAGCGAAATCAAACTTTATGACTAACGCAGCGAAAATATGCAACCAATGTAATGACTGATAATCATGGAAGGTTTTTCTCCAGATTTCTACTCACATGTCGTGTTTGAGCATAACCTCCGACTGTCCTCAGATCTACCAGTCCAGCTCTAACAACGGCGTGAGACGCTCTTCGTCTGAAATGAAAAATGAAATTAGCTCTGTTGCTGATATGATTATTCTTTTTTATTTACACAAATACTGCAATTCTTTTTTCATGCCAATACTCACCCTTTAAGGCAATGTGCAGAGGTCAGGATAACGTCGGCAGCAATTATAGACCCGCTACAATTATGCAATCTGAACGGTTTCCACTGGATGGACACCTGTAATTGCGAAATAGAGAATTGTGAAGGTGACCTTTATTTCGATCAACAATGTGACAGGAACCGGTGCACCTACAGATACGCCGAATCCAACCAACGCAAAGTGAACGAAACACTTTCAACAGCGTTGAAATTATGAAGATGAGGGTGCTATCTCACACAAACACTTGTCTCTGTTCCCGCTGTGGAGAAGTACCGGGAACTCAGGTCGGAAGGAAGGTGAGCGACAGAACGCCTTTTCGGCCACGTAACCGTTTCTCACTTAAAGCTTGCCGTCGCGCCTTTGTTTCGAAGGGTATTCTTTAAGAACTAGCGCGACATATATCCTTGCCTATCGGTGGTTGTAAGCAGAATGAGCGGCAAACTTGCAGACCGTGAGGAAGAGAAAATGAAGATCACTAATTCTCACAAAATATATCATCAAATAGCTTATGTTCGAAGCTAAACACTGGTGGTCGATTCATGTCTTAGTTTTTACCGGTTCGTTTCCTACGATACTCTGAATTTGAGGAAAAATTGCTCGAAACAGCACCTAAGCGATTTTGTAAAAAGAGAATCATAAAAGCTAGAAAAGAACCTTTTATTTTTTTTGTCGTTTATTTTTTTAGCATATAAAAGAATATTATTACAGTGAAAAACCTTCTTCGTAATTTCGAAACAACGACCTAGTTTTCGAAAACAAAATCAAATTGACTCCTCGAGGCAATCAACAAGGCTCCATTCTAGCTTTTCTTTTTTTTTTTTTTTTTTCTATTCAACATTCGAGGTATAATTTTTTTAAAGCTCGGTTTTGTTTATTCTGGGATTTGAGTTATTATAAATATTCATTTTATAAGCTCCAACCCCCTCCCCCCCCCCCCCTTCCTCTTCCACCTCTCCTCCTTCACCCTTCCCTCCCCCTGCCTGACAATTTCGGTTAAATTCAAATGAAACCACCAATATAAACAAATCTGGTCATGCGAATTAACTCAACTGAATTGCGTCTCGAAACGTTACATGTTGTAGGGCGTATTCAGATCCAATCGTAGACCCTCAATGTATAAATAAGTTACGGAGGCACTCGGTGAAAGGAAAAATACCGTGGAGTATTTGTCACTACCACCTATGGATAACATCGTGAAAACGCGCCGGTTTCAGACAGGTATTAATTTAAGGCAGGTTTAAGAATGTTAATAATAATAATAATATTAACATGAATAATATTAATGAACTTTTTTTCTTAAATACTATTATCAATTATCTGCGAATTTTTGTCACTGTGCTTTCACGTGCTGTTGGAACGATTGTTTTAGGCAGGTGGCAGAGTACTTGCTGTTTTATCGCTCGTATTTTGTGGAATCTTGTTCTGGTGTCGCCGTTTTGTCCCCATAGGAAATGTAAATTTTTTTCTACAACCGCTTTGGTTCAGCTTAACATTAAAAGAAAAGTCTTGCAAATGTGTTTTTTTGTTGTTGTTTTCTTGCTTACCACCCAAGGATATCGTCCCTGGCTTGCCGCTGCCCCACCAGTAATAAACTTGGGAATGCGAAGTTTGATAGTTTTACCGCAATCGGGATCAGGATACATTGCACTCCAACCTATACGGCAAAGGTAAACAGAAATTTTTATTTCAGAGTACGTCCCAGAAGGCTTCTTCTCATTTAGGCCCCATAATTTTCTCTTTCATTTTCTCTCTTAAGCAAAGACGTAAAAGCTTCTTTATGTGTTTTTTTGTGTTTTTTTTTTTTGTTTTTTTAGGTAAGTTCGGCGGTCAGGGGTTCATGATGCAAAGGGATAATAACCACAAAAATGTTTAACTAAAATATTAAAACATCTCTTGAAGCTGTGGATGTAAAAAAAAAAAAATTTCTATTGAAACCTTTTGGGCGTTAGCGAAAACTACCAAATCGATGAAATGTACAGTTGAATGAAAATGTGACTTTTGATGGCCATTTAGTAGAAGGGGAAGGGCGCTAAACGCAATCACGGTAGGCCGCCATCCGCATGTACACGAGAAGTTATTCCGAGACCGCTTCACGGTGTCGTGGAGTAAGGTAAGTCGAACCATGGTTCACAGACTTCTAAGTTTTTTTACGTTTCTGAGGAGCTGAGCCCACGCGGCGTGCAGGTGCTCTTGTAGCATCGGGCATTCCTAAATGAGGAGTCGCAGGTCAGCAGTTGGAGCCTAGCTCTTGCCTTTACGGGGTGCACCGGGTTCAGTGACCCCCTTCGGCTTTCTTTACGAAAAAGCGCTAGTTTGCGTAAAACAAACTTAACAATTGCAAAAAAAAAAAAAAAGAAGCTTTAACGCGTTTCTTTTTTTTCCTGAACCTCCGAAAATGCATGCAACTTGGACGAGCGAGCGCCGATGGGCGAGCGCAGCGAATGACGATGCCGAAACATAGCTTAGACAGAAAAAAAACCCAGTCTGAGTTGTGACATTAAGCAATGCAAGCGTGACGTTTTGCATTGCCTAATGGCACAGCTCAGACCGCGTTTTTTGGTTTAAGCATAACTTTCGGCATCGCCATTCGCAGAGCTGTCTCCGTAAGTTGCGGTGATTAGCATCACCATTTGTTATGCGGGAAAGTAGATGCACGGGCCTTTTTAGAGTGAGGTTTTGGGGTGTCTTATATGAGTCAAGGGATGTAAGAATATACATTTTCTTTTAATGCGAGTGTGCAACTGCATAGTACCATGTCTCGAATATACAATACGAGAAATATGTCATAGGTTGGAGACATGCAGACATAAATTACCGTTTTGCTCTCATAAAACAGCCTAGGCGGCACAAAATATCTGCTATATTGCACCGACGCCATCCTGATATATAGCGTACACAAACTGGGTAACCTCCATACGATTGACACCGATTGTTTATTTCTTTTTCCTCCCAAAAAGAGAAATTGGCAAGGGAGAGGGAAGGGAGGGAACGACCCGAGCGAGAGAGGAGGCATAATAAGAGGGAGAGTGAACGCAACCTTTTAGAGCGCAGCTCTTAGGGGCCCGTTCCCGGCTTGAGCGGCGTCGGCGTCGCCGTCGGCGTAACCAAGGTCATCCCAAGGTCACGTGGCCCCCCCAAGGTCATCCCAAGGTCACGTGACCCCTCCCCCAGGGTCACGTGACCCCCAAGGTCACGTGACACTCAAAGTCACGTGACCCCCGAGGTCACGTGACCCGCCCCCCGGAGTCACGTGACCACCCGCAGGGTCACGTGACTCCTGCCGAGGTCACGTGACCTCCCCGATGACGTCATCGTCACTGATGACGTCATCAGTGATGATGACGATGCGGATGCCGGTGACGTCATCAGTGACGTCACTGATGACGTCATCAGTGATGATGACGATGCGGATGCCGGTGACGTCATCAGTGACGTCACTGATGACGTCATCAGTGATGATGACGATGTGGATGCCGGTGAGGTCATCAGTGACGTCACTGATGACGTCATCAGTGATGATTACGATGACGATGCGGATGCCGGTGACGTCATCTGTGTCGATGACGTCATCGGGGAGGTCATGTGACCTCGGCGGGGGTCACGTGACCCTGGGGGTGGTCACGTGACCTGGGGGGACTTCGGGGGCATCCTCATCGTCATCATCACAGATGACGTCATCAGTGACGTCACTGATGACGTCACCAACATCCGCATCGTCATCGTCATCATCGCTGATGACGTCATCGGAGTCCGCATCGTCATCGTCACTGATGACGTCATCAGTGACGTCACTGATGACATCATCGGCATCGTCACGTGACCCCCCAAGGTCACGTGACCCCCCCAGGTCACTTCACCCCCCAGTACCCTTCCCTCCTCCTCCTCAAGAGCTGCGCTCTAATTCGGTGTTACAGGGAGTTGTAAACGGCTTTCACTTTTTTAGTTCAATGAATTCCGAAACAATAAGTTTCTTGCACTGACGTCACATCGCATACTTTTGACCACCAAGTAAAAGGAGGAGAGGGAAGCTGCTTTTGTAAGAATTTTGAGTAACAGGTTTATCTTCTATATTCTTCTGGGAGGAGAACAGCGACGTCTTTGCTTATCCGGGAGGCACAAAAGAGGATCCTGATAAGAGGAAAGCTCCTTCTTCCCCTTTTCTCTGGAGGGCATAGGAAATGACGTTATGTGCAAGCCACGTATACGTGACTTGCATCGTGGAATGAATCGCGTAGTCGCTTACCTGATGGAATGAATCGTGGAGGCGCTTACCTCCGCGATTCATTCCTACATTTATCCTAAGTATCCGAATGATGGATTCGGAAACTCGCAAACCCAAGGCATGCCGAGGGCCTGGCATTTCAGTAGATGCCATACACTTAATTTCTACCTTTGTGCTTGGTATACAACGCGCAGATCGCGTGGTTAGTTCAGCCAAACAACAAGAAAACAATGACACTTCGTAGCACTCCGCGGAATGCCGCTTATGCATACAATAGGCTCCATCGTCCCAGTTGAGGGTACGCAATCCCCTATTATATGTTCCCCCCAATCCTTTCATACTGTAAGGAGTTACCGACCCATTGCACTTTGGGTCGGAATATAGATATGCTTGGCGCTGGTCGCAATGCTTGGGCAGCTCGGACATTGTTTGCCCGAACCTTCTCGACGCGTCCAACCCTGGACACTGCGCTGGTGCGCTCTGTGTGTGCGCGTTCTGTGCGCCGTGTTTGTGGTGAGGCCTCAACGACCGTGTGCTCGACGGAATTCTACAAAGGTTTCCTTCCTTGGTTCTACCACCTCCCTGCAGCCGCGGTTTCTGGCTCCTTGCGCCCCGCTTGTCGGCTTTGGCGAAACACAACCCTCCTCTCTTTAACAATTTTCTCTTCTATGAGATGTTATCCCCCCTCCCCCTCCGCCCCCTAACTAACAATGACCGTTCGGCACTTGGCTGTAACTCCCGCGTTAGTATTTCCTCTTTCGCAAGTCTTCTCTCTCTCTTCCTCTCATAAGTAGTGATCGGTTACTGTGCTGTCGGGTTCATGTTTGTATGTGCCATGTATGTGCATGCGCTCAATGTATC